AATCGTAAGTTTCATGAACTTCCATTCCCAAGCTTTATAGTTTACTGCTTGATTTTATAAGTTTATAATCATCCTTCTTCAGAAAATATTCTATAATTGTCTATGATTTTAGATGATTAATATCATGATAATGTTCTTTTTTTTATCACACCTATTGCCAGTGTTCATAGTGTTGTGGGAACAATAGGGATGGGAACGCGACATTGAGGCGCGTCGCGTAATGATAGTAACATTGGTGTAATGATGTAATAATCGGTAATAGCATGTAATGAGATGGACGCTTCAACTTTCGCCGTTAAAATTAACATTTGACTCAAAATCGTTTTCATCTTCAATTCAGCTATTGTTTAACGACGAGGAGAGTGTATTTCCTCTTTTACGAACAACCCTTTTTGGTGATGATTCGCTACCTTGTGGTAACGAGATGGCAGTTGTCGGTATGGATAACGGTATCGTGATATTGATATTTAAATTAATGATGTTACTATTGACCATTGAATTTGTACGGCTTGTGCTTGTTGATATTATGTCACTACTACTCATTCTTCGATCTTTTACCAAGGAATTAGACTCTGCATTTCTTGGCTTGCTTACGATTTCAACATAAAGAGATTTGAAGGGTGAGGATTTTAAAGACGCATCATTGGGATGAGATGAAATGGGCTCACTGCTTGAATTCTGTAGTACTTGTGAGATCTCGGCGAGACTGAATTTGATGAAGGCGGTGGATAAGACATGTTTTTTATTGATCGGAGGAGTGGATACTGTAACGGTGATCGGCGAGTCTGTCGCTAATGGTAAGTTAGTTTCGCGTAACGATGGTAAGTGCTGTAGTTTATGATGAGGCGGAATTGATTGTGGCCGAGAAATAACAACGTGTCTTCCTTTATTTCATTTTCTCTTCTCTTTTATACATTTTTACAACTTCATTACATAATAAAAATGATAATTACAAATTAAGTAAAATTATGAAAAATCTTATGACGAAGCATTGGTTATTTGATTTTCACACTACTTCTATTACATAATTTCATTAATTGACCTCATAGTGCCATGTTCAGTCCTCGCACAACCCGGTCACGTGGGGACCATTGCAATTATGTCGTAGTTCTTCTTTTTT